CTACTATTACTACTACTTGTTGTTTTATCAGCAACAACAATCGATATTGAAGATGATTCCAATGATGATATTGAATTGACCAGCGATATGTGAGTATTTAGTCTAAGAGAAAATAAAATTCTAGACGTAGATCCAAGGTAAATGTTGACAATGACAAAAGATAAGTTATTATCGTCGCGTTGACGAAGATGAGATCAAAAGAAGACTTGACAGTCGCAATAATAAAACATACGAGACATTATTCTATAAAGGAAGGCGATGATGTTTGTTTCACTAATGAAAATATACTATATATATTGTCTGCATTCTTTCGTTTATTTTGTCAATCATCAACATCGAGATAAATCGAATAATAATAAAAAAACTACGAAGATTTTTAACTTTTATATCTATTTTAAAGGCCAAATGTTTGTTCAAAAATTGAAACACGTACAATAACTAAATTAATTCCATGTCTCAAAAGTTATGATCATCTTGTTAAAGTCTGGTCACGTAATTGTTCTAATGGTCGTCGTGTATGTCCAATATATGAACACAAGTTCGATTATTCTTTTGAAGAAAGAAAAACAGTATTTTTATTTCGATTTATCATGTATATTTTAGAACGGAATACTATCGAAGTGAACAAAAAGTAACAAAAGAAGTCAATATAACTATTTATCATTGTTGTCTCGGATGGACACGTCTTATTCATGATTATGGTTGTCCTATTGGTAAGAATTCATTGAAATGTAATAAAACTTATTTAGAATTTATTTTATTTGAAAATAATTGACTATTATCGTTTATATGACTTTATTCTATCCGTCAATGTATTTAGAGTAACAAAAAAAATGAAAGAGCAACTATGATGACTGATTGAGTAATACATTGACATCCATCATAGGTGCTCATTATAAATGAGTACACCACTTGATTTTTTTTGATATGTTAATACTTTCTCTTCTTATTATACAAAAAAAAAATGAAATAGAAAATGAATGTTCAACATTGCAGGTGGTGACAATATCATTACAAACACATTTAGCTATTGTTCATTGAGGTTGATTTGTAAATCGATGACCATGAACTAATGTTCTCTTTCCCTAGTTTATTTCTTTTCGTGATTGAATACAGATGTATATTAACATACTTATTAAAAAAGAAATCGAAGTTTACATTCTGTTTATATGTATATATCGGTTAATCGAATAAAAAGTAAAATAAAAAAAGAAGAAGAAGAATGTTTATAATGATGAATTAGATAATGTATGTCTAGTCGAAAAGCGGAACAAATTTGAAGGTTAAATATATTTGAAATATGATTATATATAATAAGACAATAAAAATATCATTTATTCTTTTATATAAATGTAAAAATGAAATTCATTATTATTAATCTTGATTGAAAAGCATATCTAATGATAAAATCGTTTTTTTTCTCTCTCTTCTTAATTATAGCAATGCAACCAAATCGAGTACAAAGAAAAATTCCACTACGTCATCAAATAAATTCAATGAATAGTATGTTTAATTCAGTTTTGTTTTTATTCAATTTATTTTTATATTCGTTATTAGATCGTTGTCCACATAATCGATTTGGTATACATTGTGAATATTCATGTTCTCAATGTGTTTATGGTACATGCAATTGGCGTATGAAAACATGTGATTGTCAATCAGATTTTACTGGAACTTTTTGTAATCAAACGACATTATTTGGAAGAATTGATCAAATGCATCGATGTCAATTATGTCATAAAGGAAATACAGCTTCATGTCATATGGAAGTAGGTAGGCTTTTTGTTTTATTCAAAAAAGAAAAGAAAAGCTCAGATCGATTACATATATTGAATAGAAAAATGATATTTGATTTAGTTCAATTTATGCATAAAGAGATATTTTTCTTTACGTCATCTTTTAGACTGGCAAGTGTCAATGTTTGCCCGGTCATCATGGAATTCATTGTGAAGAAGGTGAGTTAAATAAGATAGAATATTAACATGTGAGAGTATTGAATATAATGAATTCAATGCTTCTTTTGTATATGTTCATCGTTTTGAATTATTATATAAATAGTCTTATTCATTGTAATATAATATTGGTTTTGTTTTAAAAGATTGTCCAATGAATTCTTATGGACGTGATTGCGTACATCGATGTTCATGTCAAAATGGAGCAAAATGTGATTCTCGTGATGGCCATTGTTTTTGTTTAGCAGGTTTTACCGGCAGTCGATGTGAGACAGCATGTCCGCAAGGTACTTTTGGACATATGTGTTTACAAAAATGTCAATGTGGAAGTGATAATAATGTTTGTAATTCACGAACAGGTGAAATAGGAAACAATTCATAACTAAGAAATTTTTATTTTTTGATTAAAGGAGAATGTAATGCATTTCTTTGTAATGGTAATTCAAAATGTTTACTAGAACAAGAAAGAAAAAAATCATACATATCTCTATGTCCAGAAGGTGAATAATAAAAAAAACGAATGTTGTAAAATCAAATTGGATTTTCTTTAAATTTAGGTTTTTTTGGTCCACCACGATGTCGTCAAAAATGTATGTGCGTGAATAATGCTCAATGTGATCCGTTATCTGGACGTTGTCTTTGTCATTCGGGCCATGTCGGACGCTATTGTGAACGATGTTCGTTATTTATCGTTTCTTTTGTATTATTATTATCTCTTCTTTTTTTTTCTCGTTTTAGCTTGTGAACGTGGTTGGTATGGACCTGGATGTATTCATCGATGTGAATGTCATGATGATACAGCATGTGATGCTCGTACAGGTGCCTGTAGTTGCAAAATGGGTATGACAGGGAAATTTTGTGATGAAGGTTTGTATTATCGAATAAAAAATTTTGATTTTGAAATAATATTATTAAATTAGAATGTCCGGAAGGAACATATGGACAGAATTGTTCAGAAATATGTCAATGTAAAAATGGTGCTCGATGTAATAAAGTTACAGGTTGTTGCTCTTGTCCTGTGGGATATCATGGTTCATTTTGCCAATTTAGTAAGATAAGGAAAAATATTTGAATAAGAAAAAATAAAATATTTAAATTTAGGTTGTCGACCATTTACATTTGGATTTTATTGTTCTGAAACATGTAATTGTTCTTCAGAAACATCTGATGGTTGTGATGGTAAAACGGGTAAATGTCGATGTAAATCTGGTTTTCATGGTGAACGATGTGAGACTCGTAAGATAAAAAAACAATATTTTCTTATAAAATAAGTAAAGAATTTATTTTCATTTCTAAAAGCATGTTCGGCGGGACAATGGGGAGAAGATTGTTTAAATAAATGTGATTGTAGTGGAAGTTCATGTAATTCTCAAACAGGTTTATGTAATTGTTCACCGGGTCGAACAGGTATTCGATGTGAACAAGGTATAAATTAGATGTTTTTTATTTGAAATATAGATTGTTAGAATTTCTTTTTTATATTTAAGATTGTCCAATGAATACTTTTGGTATAGGTTGTAAACCTTGTTTATGTCAATCATTTCAATTATGCGATGTAGTAACAGGCGAATGTCAATGTCCAGCAGGTTGGAAAGGTGATGCTTGTCAATTTCCATCAACAGCAAATGGACCTGGTTTGTATTTTTTTATTAAAATATATTTTATTTTTAATTTATATCTATTTAGATATGCCGGAGAGAGGCGATATGTATAAGAAAGATACATAACATTTGAATTGGTTCCTTTTCGATCAAGTCTATTTTTTTATATTTACTTGTACAACTTTGAATTTTATTTGTGTGTAGTCACTTAACAAAAAATAAATAAAAAGAACAGATAATAATAATCAACTTATTTTTAATGCTGAAAATCGTTTTCAGATCAATGTATTACATTGAGGGTGTGGGTGTGGGTGTGGATACTGTATTCACCTAGCACCCACAATCGTCCTCAAGATAAGGTACTTCATGGATGAATTAGCTCGCTTCTTCATAATGCATTGATCATATGTTCCTCCATGTTATTATTATGCCAAGACGATTATTAACTTAATTTGACAATAGTCTGAGTATGAATATGCATGAAGACTAGAGAAAATGCCCACATCAATACTCTTTTAAATTACCAAAAAGAGAAATTTTAGATAATAATTTCAGGATTTTTATTCATAAGTAATATTTCTGAAATTCATTTCAAAGTTTTAAATTTGTATCCTATAAAGCGTTTCTATGACATAAAATAACAATAAAAACACGAAAGATACGTCGACTGGTAAGATAATATTCGGGAAGAAAACGGATAACGTTTAAATGAAATGATTATAAATTTTCTTGTCTAATATATATTATTCTATCTGAAGGAAATCATTTTTTTGTCATTGAAGCATATTTTTCGACGGAATAAATTTTTGTTTTCCTATGAATGACGATTCATCACTTTTGATATCATTATCAATAGTACGTATATGTCCTCTTGGTTGAATTTGTAATAATGATGGATAAAATGATTGAGATTTCGTTGACTTTTTATTTTGTTGTTGATCAATATAAAATGTCTGTACTTGTTCGAGCACTCGATGATAAATTTTGTTGAATATCATTTGAAGAAATTGTTTCATCTATTTCTGATAGTAAAGCACAAGCTATTCAACTAGCAGTAGATGATAATGATGAACGCTTGAGTATTTGAATTGGTTTAGCTTAAGAAAACTACAATTTTTAATTTTATAAAGTAATTGTCAATCATTGGGTTTGAATTCGATACACCAGAACTATCCTAAATTATTCAGCAAATATTTTTTCTCTCATGATCTCATTCGTCAGATATTATCAATTTCAAGATTAGTAACGGAACACTCATAAATAAATCTTGAACATACATATGATAGTATTTTTTTAAGTAGCATGATTAAAATATTATTTTATTAAAATAAATTTGTTTGTAAAAGCTAAAGATAAATCTGTAAGCAAGCGATTAAATAAAATATTGAAAAATAAATAAATATTTTTATTCAGTTATTTTCAAGTTCTAAAGAAAATAGTTTTAAGACTACCAAAATCCATTACCATCTGTTTCCCAATTTGGATAAATAGTTTGTAAATCATCTTTTGTAATAATACGCTTTTCTCGAATACGATAGAGTTGTTCAAGTTTATCATTAACAGGTTGAGTAGGTAATGGACGAAATTGTGCTTTATAACGAATATTATCAAGATCAGGTCGAGGATCAGATACATAATAAATAGCAATTGATTTACGTGAATTACCTTCTGGACATTTAATTGGTAAAGGTAAACCATGATAAGAAACATCCGAAGTGCGAAAAAGTATTGCTTTATTAAAACATGGACTTAATTTCTTTTCACAATTACTAAAATCTTCATTCCATAATTCAATAGCTCCACCATAATCATTTTGCCAATCTTTTGTAAAATAAATAATTAAATTAACTCTACGTTCTTTACCTGTTACTGGATGTAAACTATAATCAAGATGCATATCAAGTTTACCACCTGGTATATGTTGATGAAGTCCAGCACCATGAAGATTTGGATCAGCTTCTAAATTTTCAATACCACTAATCTTCTTAACAAGATCAACAAATTCTTTTGTTTGTAATAGATTAAATAAATCTTTAAATTGTGGTAAAGAAGAAAAATCTGTTAAAGCATGTTTTTTTTCAATTGGATTATTATAAACAATCCATTTATGATCATCAGTGACTTTTGGAAATACACTATAAAGTAATTCCGCTATTTCTGGTTTAAAAAAACCATCAATTTCAACATTTGGAAATGGTTTAGCATTAATAAATGATTTATTAAGTTCTTCAAGATTATTAATCCATGAACCAAATGACTCAACACCTTTGTTTAAAAGTTCAAAATTTTCTGCTTTCTGTGTTGGAACTGTGTTTGTATCCATTAGATATTTTTTTTAAATTTATTGTATCTAGAAAATACCGTATGGGTATAGTCTATACATATAGATTTGATTTGTATTCAAATTATAACTTTATTTTCTTACTTTTTTCTATTGTGATGATTTCATGAATTCATAAAATTTTATCAATTAATTATTCATAGAGTTATCAATGCACATATACTAACTAAACTTATTCTTATTTTGTCTGAAATTTTTTTCAAAGAATTCGTGAATATATATACATTTAATGATAATTTGCTTAAGAAAGATTTACTTCACGTGATTAAAATTCATTCTTGCGAACCATTCTGGATTTTCGATTTATAGATCTGGCAACTCTAGTTACTATATTCAAACAAAAAACAATAATTTTTGTCAAATGACATCTGAGATTAAGAATGCTACTGATAATGTTGTTAAAACTGCTGAATTTATCAAAAACTATGTAATATTATGAGAAAACTAATACAGTTCTTTAAAAACTGGTATAGATATAATATTAAATAGTTTACTTTTTTTCTTGGAACAATCATCATTAGTGATATATTTTTATAAAGTAGAAGAAATAGTTTTTTCTTTAATTACACTTACTATCTTTACACATCTAATTTAAACAAACTCTTCGATTCTATTGTTAAAGAACAAAACAGATGGCTGTGGAAAAAGCTACTAATGTTGTTTGAACCGATATATCTGACCGAAAAGGCCTAACATATACATATATCTTATCAATAAGGAAAGAGATGTTTTTCTCTTTTACACCTATGAAGAATAACAAGAAAAGACTTCTTTTACATAAGTACTTACAGATTATAATGTCGGTGACATTGATTTACAAACAAAAGAGAACAAAAATATTTTTTATAAGCAAACATTTGCTAAGCATACTTCTACCGATATCTATGTAAATAAGATGTTCGTCTTGTTTTACAGCTCAATTTAAATGAAAGAAAAATAATGTTCCATATATATTTCTTGATTATTTTATTTTTGACATTGATCTTAATAAAAGGAAACATAATGTTTTTAATATTCATTGCTAATTATATGAAACTGTTGGTTGATCGCCGGTTACCAATAGTTTTAACAAAAAATAGACGACAAGGGATACTGTTTATAGTAGAATACTGATATCATGGTTTCTTTTATTTTCTAATTTCTTCGATAGCTAAAAAAAAGTAAATAAATCGCCGTATGCTCGTCGTCATTTATTATATGAGTAGGAAAAAGCAAATTGAGACAGAAAAAAAATACTTAATTTAACAAAGAAAAACAAAATTCATTAGTCTAATTTCTACCGCCATACGAGAAATAGGCTTTTGATTTATTTATTGTATCAGAGAACTATATTTTTTATCTCCTATAAAATCAGATTTTTCTAGATGACTATTCTTTCGTAACACCTGAATAGTTTTACTAAGGAAAATGGACTTTCCATCTTATCACCTAAAATAAATAGTTTTGTGACAAAAGAAACATTTGTTATCTTTTCATTAATAAGTTTATTAGATATTTATTCACATTTTAGTTAAAAAATCATGACAAATATAAAGAAAAGTATTGCGAGAGAAAACTGTCAAGATAAATTAAATAGCAATTGCGAAAAATACTTTACTAATTAGGTGAAGAATATTGATTATTCTGAAAACGTTCTCATAAGAAGCAAATGTTTATGTTCTTATAAAGAAAAGAAATAGAAATATCGATTCAATTCAATTTTTAATTAGTTTATGATCTATTCCTATTTAGAAATATACATACTTACACGAAACACTTCAAATACCAAAATACTAAGTATAGTGATTTATTGAATATTTCATTGAATAGTATAGCGTAAATGGATTTTATCATTACTGAAAAAAAAACGTTTTTTTCACCACTTTCAAAATTATCTTTGTTGGAAGAACATGCTTATTTAGATCAAACTTTTTGTGCAAGTTTCAACATTATTAATACTATTTTGCAATATTTTCTCTGTGGTTGGTTAATTATAACGGTTAGGTCGGCAAATTCATCAGTCATAAAAATAATAGGTTCTTTTTTTTCTTGCATTATTCGAAAGCTTTAGTATGGAAAAAAAGAGCCGGTTGTTGTTATTTCTTTTTTTTCAAGCGCATATACATAGATTTTGAGATTACGCGTGCGTTTACTAAAACGTCTATTACACACCGTTTCAAGTTATAATCATTTGTCTTTCTTCAACAGAAAACTAATTTGAAAGCATGGTAGTACGTATACACCTTTTATGATAATAAGATATCGTCTTTTTGTTTATTGTCAAAAAAATTACCGTTTCTCCACAGAAACATTTTTTTATTTAAATCATCTAGATTTTTGAATGAATTCTTTTTCATAACTGTATTTCGAAGATATAGATAATATACTTAATAAGAAATATTATATTTATTTTATAAAGACAATAAATTAAATAGTTTTCGGATGTTTCATAGTTATTTGTAAAGTACCGATTGTAATTAAATATTGACCTAAACCATATGTAAACATAATGAATAAACCTGATGCTGGTATAGGTATAACAAATCGATTGAAAGCTATAAATGAATCTGACAAAACAAAAAATATTGCACCAATAAAAACTGACCAAAACCCGGGAGATTTTCGATCACGTAAATAGGATATATAAGCCATACCAACAATTATAAATGTATAAAATATTACAGGCATAAGTAAACCTTTGACTTCTTCTGCATCTGTATTTAATTTTGGACAAAGTATATAGAGCATAAGTGCTATATATGCTATAAATGGAATTAATGCAATTATTATTGCAGATATAGTTAATCGTCGTTTCAATGCATCTCCTTCATGGTGAAGTCTAACCATAAATGACATCACATAACTAATATGAACAATCAAAAAAGAAAGTAAACCATAGACAAATAAATCATTTCGACGTTGCATTAATAATATATCACCTAAACAGGAAAATACCAATGATATTACAACAAAAATACGTTCGAGAGATAAATTTTTATGTGCATTTAATAAGAATAAAAGTAATAGTATAGGCATTAATAATGGTTTAGACATGGATATAATAAAATAATTTTCAGTTGTTTCACCATACATTTCTATGGTAAGTAAAACTGAAAATAATAAAGACAGTGGTCCAATATACACCATTGTTGTATCACTTATCTAAAATAATAAAATTATTATTTGAATACCAAACAAAAAAACAAAGATACTTTCCGTTTGCAAAGATAAGGATCATGATTCATGTAGAGAAAAAGAATTATATATAACTCATAATTTTCAAGTGGATAGAAAGGTGAAAGAATACTGATAAAATACATTGAAACAATATTAATTATGATTTTACTTTTGACTTTATTTCTTAACTGTTCAATATTATAAAATAAAATTCTATTAAAACATATTAAAAAAAAGAAAATGGTGTATGTATTATTTCATTGGTGAAGCTGTTTGATTATATCATTGAATATATTCGAATTATTGTCAGTCTGTTCAATTGTTTTTTGCAATAGAATGTGAAGATTATTCAGAAGTATATTATTTGAAATACAGGTACGATTAGAATCATTTACACTTTCACCCATTTGCACAGTTGTTAATTGCTGAATGTTAGAGTTGTATTTTGAGTCAACGTCAGATAAATGAGTGTGATTATGACTTAATTTTTGAAGTTCATCATTAATTATTTGACGAAAATTCTCAGTCGAAATACTTATACTACATTCATATTCATATACAAATTGAATTTGTTGAATATGAAAATAAATATCTGCTTGTTGTTTAATCCATTTTTTAAATTCATTATAAAATTCAAGTATTAATGGATAGCATCCTTCATTAACAAAATGAATATATTGATCATAAAGTTTTTTAAGATTTTTTTGTCGTATTATATTCGACACCATTTGAAGTTGACTAGGTCTAGTAATCGTTGTATCCTAATCGATAACAAAAAAAATCAATGATAAATTTTAATAAGAAAAAAAAAATAAGACAAACATGTCGAAATCTTTCACAGAGATCAGTTGCATCTTGAACATGTTTATTAATTTGTTGAATATACATTGAATAATTTTTCATTTGTGTTGAAAGATTACTTAATTGAAACATTCGTTCATTATCATTAAAATTTGTATCAAGAATTGTGGATAAATCTTTATCATATTCGATTGATTTATGATAAAAATTCAATGATAAATCTAACATAGGTCTTATTTTTGAAAAATTTTGTTCTTCAGATGTTTCATTAGTATCGGAAGATTTAATTATTGATTTATGACATGAACGAATAGGTTTTGGTGATGATTGTGGTTTAATTAAATCAAATATCTTTTCAAGTTCATGAGTAATTTGATGATTAAGAAGATTTTTACGAATTAAATAAAGAAGTTCAAGTAATTTCGATTTAAGAAGACGATGTATAGTCATAATTGTCGATTGAATTATTTGCATAATAGATTCATATTGAATTACGCCCGTTTGTAAATAGAAAAAAAGTCCAACTATTTTCTGACTCCAATCATATACAGAAGCAAAAATATCTTGAATATTTTCCATTAATTGTATCTTAGGTATATGGATCTCTGATATACATTTATAATCGAATTTTGATATTGAAAATGTATAAATAATTAGAGGTTTTTCATATGATAATGACATAGGTAATTGTTCACAAAATGTTTTCACAGTCGTTTCTTCTGTTCTTAATACAGGATAATATACACTAAAAATAACAGACCGATATCCCGATGATTCTAGTTTCGCACATCTTTATAGTTAAAACTTACTTTTGAAAAAGACAAAAATATTCAACGTTCATTTCATCGTCATTTTCTTGTCGAATATAATCGAAAAATTTATGAATTGAATCATCAGCTTGAAAATAAGCACATGTTAATGTAAATTTTTTTAAATTAATATAATAAATAGGAATTAAATCAATTATTTTGTTAACTTCATTAAAAAATTCTTCATGTTTCATTAATCGTGCTTGATTTGTTTCAAATAAACATGAGAATAATTTTTCTAACATTTTCTTAAGATTTGATGATAAACGACACCATTCTGGTAAGACTTTTGACCAACGAATATCACCATTATACGTATCTTGTATACCTGAAATACATCCCATTGGTATTGATGTTAAGATTTGTTTCATTAGATTTCGGTCATTATTTGTATTATTATATGGTTGAAATGGCAATTGACCTATAAAAATAAATAATTCAGATATAGATGAAATGATGTATTTTCAAACCTGTAGAACATTGATAGAGTGTTACACCGAATGACCATATTTCAATTTCAAATGGAATTGAAACATGTGTTCCAATAATATTCCCATCACTATTTACTTTTCTATCAGGAGGATTATTACTAAAAATTAAAAGAGAAAATTAGTAAATAAAAATTAGTAAAATGTAAATTATTAACTGATATACAATTGGATGAACATATTTTGCTGTATCATGACTAGAATTCGATGTTACTTCGTCTTGTTTAATTTCTCGATTCACAACTAAATCAGTTAATTTATATATTACTTTATTATTAATATCAATCGTTCGCATAATGTTGCTTGGCTTTATATTACAATGAATCTATTAGATAATATATTTTTTAACTTTCAATATATATGTATATATAATTTCTCATTACTTTTTTATTATGTAAATATTTAAGTGCATTAATGATATCCTTCATGATTTGTATTATGATATCTTCAGGTAAACCATATACATTAGCTGGTAATTGAAGCATATCATGAACACTACCTCCATTACAATATTCAAAAAATAATATTTCTTGATTCGGAAATCCATTTAAATTATCTGATGAAGTGATTATTTCTGTACCAATAAAACGAGCAATATTATCGTGATTAATATTCTTAAGAAAATCAACATTTTCAACAAATATCGAATGTGAATAGTTTTTATCTTCGTTATCAGTTCTATGACTAAATTCAATATTGAATAATAATGATGTAAGTTTCGGAACTTTAGCTATCACTTGTTCTCGTGTTGTTATATTACATGCTTTGTAAACATCTGATGTTGTACTACTACCAACTTTATCTCCAACATCCCATAAATAATTTTTAGTTGTTTTAAACACTAAAATATTACATGTATAATAGATATTTAATGAAAACAGTAATATTAAATGTATTTACTTCTCTGAATATACTTATACGAAAGAATAAAGCACTTGTTTTTTTTATTGCACGTTAGTGAAGTAAAATGACAAAAACAACGAAGAAATGTGTTTTTTTTCTCGAACGTGCATGTTATTATTTATGTAGAATTGAAGAAAACCAAAAAAAGGTAAACAATAATAAACAACGAAACGTGCTTTTAACCAAATAATTATGACACACTTTTTTCCATTCTGCTCGGAAATAAATGTAAAACACAAGGATAAAAGTGAAAAACAATTTTCTTTCCCTGAATGATAAATAAGAATTGTTTTTAAGGAAATAACTCTACGCATTGTAAAGTGTGTACTTTCGATTGTCATATATTTCAACAAAAAATTGTAGATCTTCAAAAGTCAACAATAAACTTATTGTAACAAGTAGCGTTCACTATATATTCACATGAGTCATGTCAGTACGTTCATAGACGAATAGAAAAGTTGATCTGATATCATTCATGTTTTAGTTTTTATAATTGTCCTTTTTTGATGTACTCAAAACTATTCTAAACTAGTTTTAAAATTCTTGAATATATCCAATGGTTGTCTCTCTATTTTTTATGCATACTGTTATATGATATAAAAAGAATTTTAGACGAAAAAAGATAACAATGTGCAAATGCTAAATAAATATAATAAATGATAAGAAAAATAACGTAGAATCATGTTTCTACATGAATATAAGAAAATCAACAAATACATATTGTTATCTGGAAAGTATCTATACTCAAATAAACTATGACTAATCTGTCTTACAATCATTGCATAATAGTTAGATATTTTCTATATACAATAGATAATTCTTTTTTTTTATCGAATGCAATACTGACGCATTAGATATATATATATACAAAAATAGATTAAAGTATATACAGATATGTTCTCTAATATTTATATTTTACAAATAAAATAATTTCTTCTTTTTTTATCATTCTTAACTAGTTCACCTGTATATAAACTATAGTTATCATTTACCTTGGTTAAATTATTTGTTGAAGATGCGTCTTGTGGTGTTTTTACTTTTCATAGTTGGATGTTGGTGTGATATAAAAGTATTAGTAGATCAAAATGGAGGATATAATATAACTATTAATAATCAAGTATGGTTACGTTCATCTCGTACAGCTATATATGTTGATGATCGATGGTATTCAACAGAGAATCAATCTCTTCCCTTAGTTAGTGTATCGACTGATCAAGGTACTGATCCAAATTTAGGTAGTTGGAATGAAACAAAATTAACATATAATCTTGTTCGTAATCAAACATCTACTTCAATTATTGCTCATATACGTCAATGGAATATCGTTTCAGCTTTTACTTTTCATTTGGAAACAGGTGATAAAACTTTAACAAATCATGTTGCACTTGATATGGAACAAATTCGAACTGTATTTCCATCATTTAATATTGAAAATATGGATATGAATGATCAACGAGGGTTTTTTTCATTTGGAGGTAAGATTTAATTCATTTTTAATCATATTAAATATTAATTTTCATTTAGGATTAATGGCAGGTGAAGGAGATAAGTCTGCAGGTAATTGGAATTCATCAAGTACAGTTATTAAATCTGGTATGCAGGGTGGACCGGTAGTTCTATTTAATTCAACTCAACGCGGTGAAGGTGATACGTTAGTTATTTCACCATTTTCACATTTTATGGCAACTTCACTATGTCAAAGACATAAAGCATCAGGTGGTGTTTTAGAATATGGTGTCATGGGTTCAATGTCATCAATACCTGCTAATTATATGCACTCATTAATTGTTTTTTATTCACCACGTGGAATTGGAGAAGGAGTTCGTGAATATGGCCAAACAATGCAACGAGCATTTAATCGAACAAATGTAAATCGTTTGAATGATCTTACAATAAATTATCTTGGTTATTATACTGATAATGGTGGTTATTATTATTATAATACAGGAAAAGGAATGAATTATGAAGCAACAATGATAAATATTAAACATCAAATTCCACTTCCATTTCATTATATTCAACTTGATTCATGGTGGTATTTCAAAGGTATTGGAGATGGTGTTTCACAGTGGACAGCTCGTCCCGATATATTTCCTGATGGTCTTGTTTCATTACATCGTCGATTAGAAAATATTCCAATAGCAGCACATAATCGATATTGGGCATATGATACTGTTTATAAACAAAAATATGCATTTGCTCTTGATGTTGGCAATGGAAAAGCATTACCAATTGGAAATGATTCATTTTGGTTACATTTATTTGTTGATGCACGTAATTGGGGTCTTGTTCTATATGAACAAGATTGGCTTAATGTTCAAACAATGGAATTTCTTCCAACACGTACTGATATTAATCTTGGTGAACAATGGTTAAAATCAATGGGTGCAGCAGCTGAAACAGTTGAAATGAATATTCAATATTGTATGAGTTTACCTCGTCATATTTTACAAGCTCTTGAAATTCCACGTGTTACACATGCAAGAGTATCCGATGATTATGCTGTTCATTTACAAGATTCAAAAAGATCTCAATGGAATATTGGAATATCCAGTATGTTTGCTGATGCTATAGGTTTAGCACCATTTAAAGATGTTCTCTGGTCGACATCAGAACAACCTGGTTCTCCTTATACACCATCGGCAATGGAACAACTTCCTGAACGAGAAATTCTTATTGCCACTCTTTCAACAGGACCTGTTGGACCAGGTGATGCAATTAATTATACGAATGTACAACGTATTATGAAATGTTGCAATAAAGATGGTTTAATTTTAAAACCTGATCGACCACTTACTACAATTAATGCATTAGTAGCTGATTGGGCTTTTTATGGTGGTGTTATACAAGGAGAACTTTATTCAACACGAACAACAATGTAAGATATATATATATTAGTTTTTATTTATTCGTAATTCATTTCTATCTAGAAATGATCGAGAATTTCATATCATTTTTGCATCGGCTATGAAACGAGATTATGTTATATATCCTTCTATGATCGGAGGCGAATCAGGATTAATTTGGTCATATGATAATGCACAAATGGTATCAACTTTTGATGATACTCATCCTCTTGATGTTACAGCTGCTAAATGTGATGATTTAGCAATTTGTCTTTGGTATGTATCACCATCATGGCAATTTAATGATCCTGTTCGAACAAAATATGCTCTTCTTGGTGAATTAAATAAATGGACAGCTGTTAGTCAACAAAGATTTTCATCGATAACTACAAATACAGAAAAAACTCAAACAACGATTACTGTTCAAGGTGCAGTATCTGAAATAGTTTCACTTGTTGTCTTTCATACTACTTTAAAAACTGTTAATGTTAATTGTACAATTACAGCTACAAGTGGTCAAGCAAAACTTATTATTACTCCAACAAATATTGCTTGTTCTTAAGAATTCAACATAAATTAGAACATATAACATTAATCTTTGAAAACAATCTATTTTTTTTATATGCAAGAAAACATATTGTCGTATTTAACAAAATTTTTAATTTAAATAAATGTATTAGTAAAATATTTTCATTGATTAATACTGATAAAGTTGACTTTAATAATCCAATATACGATTAAACTCTGCAATAGATTTTGAATGCAAACTATAACCATAAAATTTCATGTTACAAATCTTGAAGGCTGTGTTCTTATTCTAGAATACATATTTTTTCAATATGTGTTGTTACCTTACCACTAAGTGTTATTGCACATATTTTGTTCTCAACAAGAACAAAGTTTCGATAAACACATTTTCTTTTTCCTCAGTTTTATTTTACTTTCAATAAAATACACAGAAAGAAACTATAATTTCTTTTTTATATGTTCGAGGTTTCCCATATATATATGAAGATTAGTGGGTGTGGGTGTGGGTCTGCGGTGCATGTAATAGCTACACCCACCCCTAATTAGAGGAAAGGATTAAGTTTATAGACACAGTAAATCTAGGGATAAAAGAAAAATGGAAGAAAATGTAACTTTTGACCGACGAGGTCATTCTTTTAAGTTAAACATGTCGCAACACATCAGAAGTAGATTTGACTTACCAGCATACTATTTTACATTAACAACAAAGCAACTAGAGAAAAAATACAAGAAAAATTGAATATAGTGAAAAACTACGTGAACAATATCCACCATATTATCCCACCAGTAACATCAACATTATCCACGTCCATCATTTAACCAACATTAACACCATCAACAATCTTATTGAAAAAGCAAAATCAACAGCATATTACACACTCGACACAGAATCGGAACAAAAACATGGACGAAATAAAGGGTGGGTGTGGGTGTTCTTTATTGATCCAAAGGCGGCACCCACATCCACACCCTCACATTTATCCCAAATCAAAAGCAAGTAGTTTACAATTTTTTTATTCAAACTTATCAGATATTGATAATCCAAGAAATTGTTTACGCCTAACCCAGGACGATGGTTCCTGAAGCAGGACTCCATAAATTTCCGCTGAAATCTCTGGGGAAACTCGCCATTTCCGGGCGAGCTCCGCCCGGAAAATACCAGAAATCCGATGGAAAAGTGAGGTAACCGTATCCGGCTGCCGGTTTTGACATGTTCCTGTTGGTTCTGGCCCAAACCAGATAAATCTGGTCACCGGATCCGTACAACGGGAATGCTGCTTCCATGAAATCTCCAGAATACCATGGAACCGGCCGTTTCCGTGCCGGATTGTTTGACCTGGGTAGCATCTAACCAACAATTATTACAACTCCAAATAATTATACAAATTTTTCATGCATTTATTGAACGATATACTCACAATTTGTCTAAAATATCCATCAATAATTATGTACAAGTTCGTGCAAAAATCTATTCACTTTATTCATTTAGATCTATTGAACGCAATTTACGAGGAAATCTCACCAAGTGATAAATTGCTTTTGCAACAAGTTTTATCTCATTAGATAGAATCTGTTGAGACTAGAAAAAGCCTAAAATAATTCATGCAGTGACTCTTCCTGCTTGAGTTATATAGTCATTATACTGAATTTTTCAATGAAATGTGTCTCTGTTACCAGATCACCGTAAAAATAGAATTTCGAGTTCTTACTTGAAACTTTGCAAAAAATAGAGGCCCCAATGAGAGTAGTTTATTCTAAAAGTTTCAATTTTTTCAATTAAGTATAGACGTAGCGAGATTAGTTAAACTCGCCAAGCCTTTTGAATTAAGTTTATCTTATTCAAACAATGAATGATGGAGATTTTTATAAACGATAAAGTAAAATATTAGAATTTACAATAGAACCACATGACTGGATTTATCTTTTTATACATATTTTATTTGTCTAAAGTTTATTAGACTTTTAAATAAAGAACATTTAGATGGTGTTAAAATAGACAAAAATTGAATTAAATATGAAACATTCCAGAGAATAAAGAAAAGAAGAAAGTTTTATATAAGTGATTACCCTAAAGAATTTTCTTAGAAACAATACCACGACTATGATTATTTCATGGAAATGAATATTATTACATCAGTTCAATTATTTTCATTTCATTAATTCAACTATTTTTATATCATATGAACAAATCGAAGTTATATAAAATTACTTTATCCTAATTTTACTAAATGCATAAATAAATTAAAATCAACTATATGTGATATACCACAATTTGAGAATTCACAAATAATTCTTCAACAAAAGTAAATAAGATACGATAAATGTGTTGATTATTGGGCATTAGATATTCTAATTTATGAATTAACTACATTTACAGCAATTTTAACAAAGTGTATATTTCATTGAATTTCATTGATTATATAAATTATCCATTAAAAATTTCTACTAGTGAAAAATAATTTTCGAGTTTAAAATAAAGTCTCTTCTTCTTTTATTGATTTTTTTCTTTAATAAAACAATAAAATAAAAATCTATTGTCGATGACCATAATTATCATTGCTTGTTTCTTGTGTACCACCACCAACAGCATCATGACCACATGTTTGTGATGTACATTTCTCAGCAAGTTCATTCGCCTTCAATGGAGCACCTTCAACAGTACGATCTTTATCATATTGTGGTGGCTCATTAACATTAGCATTGCTATTCGATTGATGAGCAGCGTTGGATGACATTATGACTGAATTAAATTTTTCTTTTATTTAAAAAAAATTTGCACTCAAATACTTCTAATACAACTTGAAATGATTCATATCACATTCTTTTAATATCTCTTCCAAGCCACTCCTAAATAAAAACTCCATCAGATGGCGTTCTCTTCTATTCATTTTCATATATATATATATATATTATCTAAACTTCATATCATACTGTTATATATTTCTAAGATATACACATCATAATGGTATTTTTAGAAAAAAAAAACAACTAAAACAAAAGCATTGATTAATATTCAAATGACTTATTAGTCCAAACACTATGTGTATGTTGATATCTAAATAAAATGAATTGTTTCAATCAAACCAACCATAAGAGAAATACATTAACTATGAGAAAAATGTCTACTATATAGATTAACAAACAACAATAAGACATAGAGAAAAAAACAACAACATGGCAACAATAAGAAATACAAAGTGTTTTTTTTTCGAAAATGGTATTGCCAAAGAAAAATATGCAAAAAAAGAAATCATGAGAAAATTATTCATCAATATAATTATCATTATTCATTGTATGCCAAGTTCGATTCGATGCTTCTATTAAAATATTTTATAAAGTCAAAAAACAAAAATTAAGTATTTATTAATTGTTTACCATTAGTTGCTATTTTTGATGAATATTTTGATTTTTGAGCTGATGATGGTGGTCGGGGCATATCGGCAGGTCGATTAGGAAAACCTGATGTTGATGGAGGTCGATTCAAATATGAATTATTATGATTAGAATTTCTTGATGTATGATCATCACGAAAACTAACGGATGGACTACCACGAGCACTCTATTATTCATTAAATAAAACAAATAGTTATTTGAAATATTAAAATATATATGAATCATACTAAAGATTGACTTCGTCGTTTACTTCCATTATGTTCATATCTATCATCAACTCGATTACGTCCTTGTCTTTCTTTAGTTGTATTTTTTAATTCATGATCCGATTCTGTTGGATGAAGAATACTTGTTCCTTGCTTGCGATGTTTAGCAATTAATGATTCAAGTTCACTATCATCATTATCTAAATAATTAAAACGAAGTGTATCACTTGGATTGCGACTAAAATAGAAAGAAAGAGCGAAATAGATGAAAAATGGTTCGTTTCTATGAGTTTATTTCACCTATTGGCACGCCATGGTGGATGTTCTACATTACGATTTGTTCTTGATGATGATGATAAATGAGATTGATTATGTTGATTACGATTTGTATGTGTATGTGAACGTGCAGTATTTTGATGCGAAGATGATTGATCATCATAATAAGCGCTTTGCGAACGTTGAGAATAATCCTAATACAAGAAGAAAAAAAACGTTAGTATTTATTTGAACTATTTCTATCTTATGAGATCAAATATTCATTTTAAAGAATAAAAACGAAATAAATTAGCAAAATACAAATGATTTATTTCTATTATTTAATTACGATTGGTCGTCGAAAATTTCTTCTCGTCTCTATTGTTTGTGCATATGTATTAGTCATTGATAGATTTTCAATAGATGATATAGTTTTTCTTAAATTCGATAATGGTATTAAGAAATTTATCTGGTAATTTTATACGAAAAAATTTGCAAAAAGACAAAAAAACGATTATTTTTCATACTCGAACAGGCATTGTTTGTAAGGCTTGAATATTGAATGTATAAACACGTTTCCAAACATTACTTTCAAATGATGATGGACTATATTTTGGTGTCCAACCAAAACGAAGACATTTTGGCATCCAAATTTGATCAGATTCAGTTAAAAATTTCCAATACCAACATACCTTGTAAACGAAAAAAAAAGTTACATATGAAACAAATGAAAAACTAAATTCTACTTGTGCACAACGACAAAGACTGCGTGGATCAAGATATGAAAATATATAAAGACAAAGTACACGTGGAAATAATCGAGTAAAATCATTATGATGAGCAGGAAATCTTTTCGTTAATAAATTTCGTGTATATGTCAACTGACGAGGACGTGATTGTCCCATTAAATCATCAAGAACAACACGACGTTGATCATCAGTCCATTTTTCAAACTAAAAATTTAACTTTAAATGAAATTGAATTAAAATAAAAGTTCATACCCATTTATTCAAAAGTAATTTTCGTTCATCAAATAGCTAAAAGAAAAAGAAAGTGTGTTTTTTGCTATATCCTTTGTTATTATCTTACTCTAGCATTTGTTTCCTCATCTTGTAATGGTGTCCATGTTGAATATAAACGATTTTTTCCTTTTCCATTTAATTTTTGTGAATTCGTTGTACGATCTAAGTCATGTTTTAAAATTGATTGTTCTAATTTCGCTGTTGTATTTAAACCATTTGAAGTTGTATTATTATGTTGTTGTCGATTTCGTGTTGGTGTAGTTGATCGTAATTGTGCACTCGATGGACGTGCTGGTCGTCGATTTCCAACAATTTCATTTGGATTTGGTGGATGATGATGTGATGTATTCATTAAATCCGTCATCTTTACGGCCTTCGCGCTTTATATTAGAAAAAGAAGAGAAAAGAATCTAAGATTCATTTCGTTATAAACTTGAATCGTTGCTAAGTAACAACTGGAGAGGAAAAAAAGAGTATTGCATTACTACTAATGCATTAATGCATTTAATATACCCAAGTTCGATTAGATTGGTTATTTGCAATAAATTTTATTAGATTGAGATGAAGAAATTTCTTTCTTTGTTCATAAAAATTTTGTTCGTCATTTGAATAATTGTTAATTTTAGATGACCGATGATTCGTCTTCATCTCCACCTAAAAATTTATCTTCTTGGAATTTCAATGAATTAAATCATGATGATGAATCGAATAGTTCAAGTGATTTTTTTTCTGTATTAAAAAAAAATGTTGCTAAACATGTTTATTTGGATGAACATATTCATAGTAATTCGAATAATGCAACTAAGAACTGTTTAAATGAACAATCAACAACAACAATTCGTATTGATAGTAGTGATTTAATATCACGTTGTAAAAATTTTCTTCCATTATTAACTGATGCAAATCGAACATTATTTTCTAAAATTGAATCAGGTGAAAATGTTCGAATTGAATTAGATTCTGATGAAGATGAACAAAGACAAATTGAAATGAATCTAATGTTTTGTCCAAATGTTGATACATCATCACAATCGGAAGATAGTTCTGACGATGAAAATAATGATGAAAAAATTGAATCAACATTATTACAATTACCTAAGAAAAAAAGTTCAGTTAATATTGTTGAAATTGAATCAACAGATGATAAAAAAATATGAATATATTGTTAAAAATTAATCTTTCGTTAAATCCTATGTGATTTGTTTTTTTTTTTGTTTTCAAGGTTAAATAAATTTTCGTTCTAGATATGTAATTTATTATGTCAATATCTATAGCAAGCACGACGACTGCACCAACAGCATCTACAAATACATCAGTAGATACAATAAAAAATAATGAACCACTTGCTGTTCGAGGTTAGATTTATTATTATTTTTTTCTATTTAAAATACAAATATTTTTTTTTTTATTTTAGTTATGCGGTTATCTAAACCTGCATTATATCAAAATATACCAGTTTATGGTGAAGACGAATCTTCATCATCCGTAGCTGCATTTCTTACTGGTCAATCACATGATATAGCAATTGGAAGTGATAATTCGGTATTCAGTCATTTACTTGTACTTCCATATAGTTTTGGGTTAGTTATTATTCTTTTCTAAATTTCAATATTGTTTTTTTTAAATTAGTAATGTATTTTTGGGTGAAATATTCTCCGCAATTGTTGCTTTACATAACCAGAGTGATCAGATACTTCGAGATGTAATTCTTAAAGTAAAATTAATATAATTTGTTAAGTAAAAAAAAGATTTATTTTATTCTATTTTCTAGACAGATATTCAAACAGCTTCACAAAGAATTACACTTAATTCAAGTGATCAAAATGATTTGAATAAAATTGAATTAGCACCAGATCAAAGTATTTCACGAGTTTTACAACATGAAGTTAAAGAACTTGGAAACCATTCGTAAGTATAGACATATATGAAATTTCATAGGAAACAATCAAAGTGTTAGATAGATCACTTCAGTTCTTACTAAGCCTACTTATCCTCGTCGCCAATATTTATATTTCAGTATCTTCTATCTTAAAGATAAAATCTGTTATCTTTCGATCACTATACTCAGAGATAAAATATTCGATTCTCGAATTTCTACTATTATGTAATCTTATCTTTTAATAAATAGTTTAATTAGTAAAAATAAATTTAAAATCAATATTTTTTAGTCTAGTATGTACTGTAACATGTATCGATCAAAATGGTGAAAAATGTAATTTAAAAAAAGTTTTTAAATTACCCGTAAGTTAAATTCTAAACTAAATTATTTTAAATATAAAATTTTAATTCTAGGTTGGTAAACCAATTGATTTAAAAACACGTTTTATATCTGGCGCAACGGTAAATATTATTTCTATAAAATGCTTTTTTATTTAATCGGGTTTTTTCTATTAGCATGATGAATATTATATTGTTGCTGATATTCAAAATCAAACTCCATCAATATTAAATATGACGTTTGTTTTTTTTTTGATCATATTCTTATTATTTATTTTGTTATGAATTTAAATAGAACTGTTGCATTGGAACCATCAACTGCATATACTGCGATAAATCTAAGTAATCTTCATCATGAAAATTCCGAAAAGTATTTTCTTTTTTTTTTTAATATTCTTTTTCTTATTATTTTTATTTATCTTAGTTCACTTTGTGAATCATGGCGTTTTATTCGACCAAATGAAATTACAACATATATGTTTTATTTAAAAGCTCGACAAGATGCTAGTTTTGAAGAAATTCATTCCACAACAACATTAGGTAAACTTGATATTGTTTGGATGTCTGGTTTTGGTGAACGTGGTCGTTTACAAACAAATCAATTACCAAAACCAGTAAAGAAATTTTATTTAAAAAAATATTTATGTTATTTTTATTTTAAATCAATTAGACTCCATCTATTGCAACAACAAATCTAGGATATTTACCTGATTTACGTATATTTTTAATGCGTGGTCAAGGAAAATGTCATATTGAAGAAGCACAAAAATTTTCTATAAGAATATTAAATTGTACACAACGTACAATGGATTTATCATTAAATTTTGATAGTTCATTTTCTAAACGTGAACAATTTTTATGGATTGGTATAGTTAGTAAACAATTAGGAAAACTAGAAGCACATCATATGTATGATATTGAATTAGAACTTGTACCATTAACATGTGGATTAAAAGTAAAGAAAAGATTTTTATCGAAAAGAAAAAAATTTACATTTTTGTTTATTTAGAGAATTGGTGGTTTGAAATTAACAGATTTATTAATGAGACATACGTATGATTTTGATGATTTTCATCATCTTTTTGTTCTACCGAAAATTGTGCATTAAGATATTATTTATTTATTTTATTTATTTTTTTTTCATTCTTTTTTTTTGGTGGATAATTTTAAATATCTATGGAATCATGTATTTTAATTTTTAGATTATTCATATTCAAATTTCTTTAACAAAAAAAAATCATGTCTGCTGAAGGTGATGTCAACCCAAAGGCCTATCCATTGGCCGATGCTAAACTAACCAAAGATATTCTTGAACTTGTTCATCAAGCACAAAATTATGTAAGTACCATAGATTTAATTGAATTACCCGAATTTACTTTTTTCTTGTAGCGTCAATTACGTAAAGGTGCTAATGAAGCAACTAAAACACTTAATCGTGGTAAATCAGAATTAATAAGTATGTTTTCAAAGAATTTCTTTTTTTTTGTAATTAAATAAATTTGAATTTAGTTATGGCTGCCGATACAACGCCAATTGAAATTCTAATGCATTTACCATTATTATGTGAAGATAAAAATGTTCCTTATGTATTTGTACGAAGTAAACAAGCCTTAGGTCGTGCTTGTGGAGTAACACGTCCAGTTATTAGTGCAAGTATAACGATTAATGAAGGATCACAATTAAAAGCACAAATTCAAACACTTAAACAAAATATTGAAAAATTGTTTACATAAAACAGAGAACACGAGAAGAAAAAAAAAAATTCAATGTGTTTTGAAAAAAAAGAAAGTTTTTTTTGTTTTTTTTCTGTTTTGTTTTTGTTATTATTTCTGTGTCACCGTTATTTGTGTTTGATGAAATGAAATAAAAAACACATCATGTAGGAATTATTAGTTAGTTTTATTTACAAAATCTAAATTTTAAAAAACACAAAATAATCTCATACAGTTTTCTTAATTTAACAATTAACTGAAAAATACATTTTTCACTATTTTTTATCAACAAACTTATTTTTTATATTGTAGGTGAGAATATCGAGTTTTAGGGTGTGGGAATATCTGCAATAGAACACACCGACACCCACATCCACACCCTTATACTAATCGAGAGAAACGAAGTTGGATTGTCTTTTTCTCTGATAATATATAAAATGAAACCTTGTGAAAATTAATTACTGTTAGAAAATATACAAAAGAATACATCGAAATGAAGTTTTGTTTTTAATCATTGATTCAGATAAAGAGATTTGATGTTTATAGTTCTAGATGTAAAGCAATACTTTACTTTTCATTCTCTTCCCATCGGAATGTTAAACTACTATAACAAAACGTGCAAAAATGTGATAAACGCCAACAAAGTTCCCTATTATTTGTATATATGAATATATGACTTTATTTACTCATGACTAGAGTGTAGTTACGGAACTATTTGCGTTGTATCTTGAACTATAGATCTGAAATGTCTAAATCAAACGTTAAAAATATGATTTTATCTTATACAGGTCACTAACAGTTGCCATTCTCGAGATATTCATATCCCTACTAGCAGTAGTAATCCTTCCATATAAAACAGTATGAGACCTCAAATACTATTTGATTATAAAAATATCAAATATTTTTTTTATTTTTTGTAGTTTAAACTCTTTTAATGGCAGCCACACCGAAACGTGTTACTTTATTATCATCATCGTCCTCATATTCATCTAGTAAAAAATCAAATATTGCTGATTTTCTTCAACCATTTTATACATCAATTGAAAATTTAACAGAAAGTCATAAACAACAAATTGAATCATCAAATAAAACAATTGTTGATCTTGAAAATGAAAATAAACATTTACGTACAGTATATGATCAACATCCTCATTCAATATTTGATATTAATTATGTATCAAGTGATCAATTAGTTATCGATCAACTTAAATCAGAACTTGAAAAATCACAAAAACAGATTACTGCTTTACAAGACACATTAAACGAAAAATGTACGGAATGTGATGATGCGAAATCTAAATATCATGTGCAGCTTATAATGAACCAAAATAATAGTGAACAACAAAATTCTTCTGCTGATATTAATAAAATGAAAGAACTTGAATTAAAATTAAAACAAATTAAAGATCAAGTAAATCAATTTGATCAATGTTATTATGAAAATGATGAGCAAATACGTTTATTAAAACAAATTTTATCAAGTAATGATCAAGAACAATCAAGAGCAATAACACAAAGTTTAACAGTTAAACAATCGGATTTAGCACAACAAACAGATTTTGTTGAAAATCTTTTAAATAAACAGCATGATGTCATTTTAAATAAAATTGTCCAATTACTTGATCAAAATCCTCGAAATGATCAACAAGTAACAGCAAAAAATAAAAAAACAACAAAAAAAAAACGATTATAATTGATTTCTATTTATTTTGTTTTCTTCTTGTTTACTATTAAATATTCATATTTTTGTCTTTGTTTCTCATATTCAATAAATTATCATATTTAGACGTGTAATCATATCAGATAAAAATATTTACTATTAAAATAATCATTATACTGGAATCAATGTGATATAATAAGTTAATGTTCTAACGAGGGAACGTTATCAAGTGTTCAATCCCTCTGAAATTTGTGCAAAAAATAGACCATGGTGAGATATGCAAAACTCCAAAATATTGAATCGCCATAGGCTTTCTATGCTAAGTTATTGTAGTCTATAATAGGGTATATATCTATAAATCAAATGGTAATATTTTAGGCTGAGATTTTGGCCACATAGGGGTCTATGTATGAGTAGCATGCTATGAAAATTTCAGCTGAAAACGAGATTTTGTTCTGGAAATATCAAAGTCCCAAAAATAACTCATATGCTACAAATTTCAGTTTTACTGCAACCTTGATAACTCGAGAAGGAAATCTTCAGAATGTACTACTCATACATAGTTCTCTCTGTGGCTAAAATAACAGTAAAATGCCGATAATTTGCTAAGAAAGCCCAAGAGGATTCAATAGTTTGAGATTTTTCATGCCTCATTAGAGTCTTTTTTTATATACAAAGTCCAAATTTCAAAGATATTGGATAGTCGGCAACGTTTTTTCGCTGATATTATTTATGACATGATCGAATTCTTTGATATGCGTGTAATTTCTTTTAATGATTATAGAAAAAGATACATTTCAAAAACAAAATATCTTTATATTTTGTATGAGAATCTTTGAATCAATATAAGATTGCATATCGGTTGTAACTTCTACATTGATATATATAATAGATTAAAATAGAATATTTATCATAATGTTTATAGAGTTATATTTACACTTTGTAAGATCGATTTCGATTGAATACTAATCGGATTCAATATGAAAAATATAGTAAAGAGTTATCTAAGGATTTGTAACATTTTCTAAAACAAGAGCTTTACATATATTAATATATAAGATATGCGTAGGAAATGTCTAAGTGACAAAAGAATTATACATTGTTTTTAAATTGAACATTTGAGTTAGTGAATAAACAGGACAAAAATTAACAAACAATTTATTATTGATAATTATCATTTCATAGTTCAAGGAGTAAAATAAATATCTTATGCATATTAACAAATTAAATAGTAGAAGAGACTTGTCACCTTTCATAATAATATCGACATTTCTTCTCAATATACATATGTATAGTTCAATATTGATTCTATTAAAATAATATAGATGAATCTAATGTTTTTAAGCAAATATAGAAAAGATATTTGATTCAAAGTTAAATATATTTTGCAAGATTGTTTTATAAAATATGAAGTTTATTTCTTATTGAATAAAGTAATTATAAAGTCAACAAGAACACTATTTTAATTATCTATAAATAGTTGAAGTTATTTTAATATTTGAAAATTTAATTTTGCGGATTAAAACTAATTCATTTAACTAAGAAAATCAATTTTTCTATCTTTTGACATATTAAGACAGAGCAAAAAAAAAGTGGCATACTAATTGTATTTTTTAATATTTCGAAAGACTTTTAATGAAAAAAGAGTAAAGAGGATTATTATCAAGTCAAAAATTGTTGTCTATTATAAATGACATTGAAATAAGATTGTTGTTTTTTTTTGTACTTGTATTCAATAGAGAATAGAAATCTATTTCCAGCACATCAGATAATCAGAATATTCATCATCAAACAAAAAAAGAAAAAGAAATCTTTCTCCATTTCTTATTTATTTCAAGAGTACAAAAGTTGTACATGAAAAAGAAACTCATTTATAATTAATGAATTTTATTATTTTTATTTCAATATGTTTGAATTGAACGATCATGATCCGATTTTCCGCGTCTTTAAACGACTTTTTCTTTGTCTTGAATCGCTTGCGGAATTGATATTCGTTAAATCAAACAATAGCCGCCTGTATATACGTCTTCATACTATTCTTGTCGTCTATTATCTCCTGAATAATTTAGTTTTTTGTGTCTATTCATACATACAAAGAATAAGTTTCCCACTATGTTCAAAGGACGAAATATAACAGAGAAAAAAGAAGAAGAAGAAGTTTCTCTTTCTTTTTTTTTTGATTCAACTCCTTCAATTATCAAGAAAAAAAAATGAACAAGCACTCGAATTTCTCAATTGATGCGCTCTAATGAATGTCATGGGACGTACAGGTAGATGACAACTGTGATTGACGTGTGCGTGCCTCTGTCACGCACATTCATATAGAAGACGAAGGAGAAAAACGTAAATTAATTGCCATTTTTTTACTGCACATGTTGCAGAATAGAAGAAAGAACATATATATTTATATATACACACACACACACACACGATATAACATTCTTTCGGGTTTTTTTAGTTAGTGTATTACCATATTAATTAGATCAACATAGAGAGAAAAAAAATGCCATGAAGTAAACAACATACATTCTTTACTCTTAAATATGATAAGTGTGTACAAAGATGATCAAACGTATATATAGTCTATGTTAATGTGCGTGGTATGTGAGAGTGTCTCAAGCTTATCTTACTCTATATGCATATCATTTGATGAGCAAAGTCAATATTGTCAATAAAGAAGAAGAAACAGGTGTCTAATATAGAGACGAAGAAGAAAAAAAATGAGGAATTCTTTCTTTTTGTGTCATACGTGTTTCATGTTTTGTTATTTGCCTGAAGAGATAGATGTATTTCAATTTGATGTTGGCATCATAACAAGTTGTTCACACTAAATAGAATAAATCGATAATCCTTTATCTCAAATTGAAAAAAGAAAAAGACAGACTGTAATCTACAATCATCAAATAGTTTTTAATAAGTCAAATATACTTGAATATTTGTAAAAATTTCGTTATGTTATCTATGGTAGTTACGTTATTCTTTTATTTGTCTAGATTTTTTCATTGGTTTATATTCATCTAATATATGATTGGTTAATAGAAAATAAAGTTTTTTTTTCCTCTCGTACATACTCATAAAAAATTCTATTGGTTAAAGAAGAAAAGAAAAACATACACATTGCTTGTCAATCAACAACGACTAACGATCGTCGCGTGATACACTCGTTTCATTACAACGAAATGAGAGAAAAAGGAGAAAGAGAGACTGAGAAACTGAGAGAAGGGGAGAGAGAGAGAAAGCAGGAGAAAAAAAGATTGTGCGTGTTCGATGTTTTTTTTCATCATCAGTTCTAATCTATTTGAAGTTTGAGACGATTCCCATTCATTCATATACATTGGTATATCTTAGCTAAAAGGAAAAAAAAACCTGGTAAGTATTTATTTATGAGTTTAGCCCCGATTTATTTTTATGTTACCAACACCCATCCATCACCTTATTCAATCATAAACGCATGAAATCTGACACGTGTTAATGCCGATTGAGGATAGTCTTATCATAGTTAAAGAAGGAGAAGAAGAAAAAAAGCCAAAGACTTTTATTTATTTAAAAAAACTAGATTATGTTATTATTTTTCTCTTATAGCAATTGTGGCTTCCGTTAATAGTACAAGCGCAACATCAAAATATTCATCACCGCCATTAGGTGATTATTATTCAAATTATGTTGCAGCTGCATCATCCATGGCAAGTGATCCATCTGCATTAAAATTTGGATATTCCGATCCAACCAAAGGTGTTCAATTTGCTTTCGGTTTTCCACAACATCCCGATTCATTTTCAGCTTTATCATATAATGGTAGAATTTTGTTAAATAAGTTCTTCTTCTTTTCTATTTCTATTTCAATATTTAAGGTTCATCACAAAGAAAACAAAGACGTGAACGAACAACATTTACTCGTGCACAACTAGATCAACTTGAAACATTATTTGATCGAACACGTTATCCTGATATATTTATGCGTGAAGAAGTTGCACTTAAAGTTAATTTACCTGAATCAAGAATACAAGTAAAATAAAAAAAACTAAATAAAATGTTTTTTTTCTTACAATTTAATTTGTAAATTAAGGTTTGGTTTAAAAATCGTCGTGCTAAATGTCGTCAACAAGATAAAGCAACAAAAAAACCGTCATCATCATCAAATAGTGGTTTACATGACAAATCAATATCATCCAATGACACTTCACTTTCAACAACTACAGCAACATGTAAACGTGAAGCTAAAAGTCCAAATATGATTAGTCCAAATGGTCGAATAAATTCTTCACAAACAATTAATACTCGTTCACCACCATCAACATCAAGTACAAATAGTTTAAATGGTGGTGGTAGTAATAGTTTATGTTCATCAAATTCAACAACAAGCAATGCATTTTATCGTTCACCAACATCGGATAATTCAACAGCTGCAGCAGCCGCAGCATCATCATTAGCTGCTTGGCAATCTCAAGCGGCTGCATATCATCATATGTATCCAACATCTTATAGTCCAAATCAAACATCATATCCAAGTGGACTTTTTTATAGCAATGATCCTCAACATATTTATAAAAATAATTCAACTACAGCAAATAGTCCACCAATGTATGGTACAGCAACAAGTGCATTAACATATCGAAATCAAGATATAGATTTTCTTCAACCAACAGCCATGTATGGACGAACAAGTGATGAATTTATGGGTTGGACAGCATCACATCATCATCATCATCAAAACTTTAAAATTTTCAATTAACTTCTTTTTTTTTCTTCTCTTCTTCTTTTCTCTTTCTTTTGTTTGTATGTTGTGTCTGTCTTAAAGCTTGTGGGCGAACAGTGTAAATGAATAAATATGAAGCGTCATATTCATTTGTCTTGTTTATATAACACACATTTTGGGAAAAAAGCTGTTAAACAAATGAAAAGCTATTTAATTGGATGTAATGATGTCTACTCTTGAAAAAGTATTGACACATATTGCGAGATTTACGGTTTTTTTTCTTCTTCTTCTTCTTCTTTTTGTTCAATAACTATACTATTTGTTGACAGAAGATGGT